GGGCAGAAAGGTGGACCGGCGTGGTGGGAAGTTGACCCAACGAGGTTGGGTGGGCTAGTCCCCCCCCCCCCTCCCCATCTGTTGGCAGTTGATCGAATGACGCGGTATCGATGTGGTATGAAGAAAGTAGGCGTCCCTATAGACGTGTGTTCAACGATTGATTCGCTTCAATTGTGGAGCAGTTGGTTCCCTCAAATTCTGCCGATCTGTTTTCCTGCGATTTACTTTGTTGGCCTAGTCCTACTTTTCTTTCTTAGATCTTGTCGGGCTTATGAAAGGAATTGTAGCGAGGGCCTGGGACCTTGCCAAAAGTCAGTTTGTTCTTCCTGGCAGACCAGAAAAAATAAAACCGAATATTTTCAGGGTTTTTAAGAAGTAGGTTTTAGCCTAAAAATAATTTTTTTTTTAAATGAGATCATCGTAGCCAACTGTTGTCAGGGCTTCTCATAGGCCGAAGCTTGAACCTTGCATTAGTGCGTTTTGTTTTCTCTGCAGACAATGATAATATTGGCCTAGGCCTAACTTGCTTTAGACTGGCCCATTATGAATGTGTGCTGCTGCAAATTTTGTTTGCTTAGGTGATTCACTTCACTGCAGGGATATTCCCAAAAGCCCAGTGTCTCGTTGCTTGAAGCTTGCCCTCAGATCCTCAAGTTTGGCAGGTTTTTGAAATTCATTTGAAATGATGAAATTTCAGCTAATTCATGATTTCAGGTCAAATTCCTTCCATCCCCTTTGCTCAGTAAAAACAAGTAGTAAACTAATATTACATTCATGGGTAGTGATCAGCATCTTTGAAAAGTGGAGTCAATAGATTGACAGTGGCCTATACTTGCATTCATTTCATGCCAAGTGACCAAGGAGCATGCGGAATCATTGAAGATAATTTGCAAAATTCATGGGAATGAAAAGCCACCCTAATTCTTCTGAGCCATCATGTAAATTCTAGTCACCTTTTCCTAAAGCGACCCCAGAACTTTCTCAGAGATATATTTCAAACCGTTTTGGTAATGAAAATTGTATGATATTTATTCATTTTGAAAATACAATTTCTTCTTCAATTGTGCACAATGTTTCACTTATGCTTAATTTCAAAAGTCAAATTTTCAAGTTCGTGACACTAAATTGTTAGGCTGCAAAACTTGGGAGAACTAGAGAGATTCAATAGAAAAATTCAATAGAACTTGTAGAGATTCAATAGAAAAATTTTAACCGTGACATGTTTCTGAGACTTGCACTGGTTAATAGTCATCCCAACCTCAGTCTTTTTCCCCAAGATTCACAAAGGTAACATCTTGCGGTAAACTGGAACATTTTATGAAAGTTTGGAAATGAAAAATTAAGTATGCTTTTAGACTTGTACACAATCATTGTGTATTCTCATTTTTCAAGGTGGATGAATTCGATATTGGAACTATGTTCCTACAGATAATTTATTTCATGAAAGGGTTTGAAATTTTGTAAAAAATTGGAATTTGGAAATACTTTTATGGACTAAATTTTAGAGGATTAGATGTTGGAATTATTGAATGACATTTGTACATCATCATGAAGAATACGTAGAAAGGGGCACAGAACTGGACTAGGCCTGTTGATCAATGGGCCCCTGACGGCAAGTGTGACATAAATCGTGTCATGCCGCCAGTTTCGTCTTTGATGGACCGTCAACTATCCTCCCGAATCATAGCGAACGATATGCAACGAAATGCATCAGCGATGTGCTACCCAGGGCCATTCACATGAAGGGCCTTCAGCGGGCCTTCGAGTAGCTACACAGCTACTACAATTGTGCTATAAAAGGGTGCCATGCCGCTCGTGTCGTAGTCGGCGGGCCATCGCCTACATCTCCCAGATGTAGCGCGAGGCCCGCCAGAGTTTTGCTACATGGGAAGTCGTCCAGTTTATGATATCCCTGTGTTGTGTGGGTCTAGGTGGTACTTACAACCGAGGAACATATGCAGGAACGATACGTTGGGTAAGGTCAGTGAAGACGGCACGAATGCTCGGAACTTAGATCGGGTACTTGCGGAGTCGGATGAATGGGGATGTACCAATTTTCTTCTTCTGATAAGATTCGATACTTCCATTTCGAGGCTATTCTCAGGCATACCTGCCATGGAAGCAACCCGGACGTCCAAAGGATGTCAAAAGAACTTCGCCGTGGCTCATGGAAGAGGGGGGAATAGGAAGCGAGGGAGGTAGCAGTGTCGACCATTTAGTCTCGGTTTCACCCTTCAGAACAGAAAGACGAAGGGACTACTTAGTAATATCAGATCCTGGGGGAAAATGAAAATGAGGACAGAAGGAAATCGGAAAGGGGAATACTTCGTTCGTGAATGTGATTTCTGTCGAACGCACGAACGATATATTGAAAGTAATGTTCCTAAAAATTGTTGCATAAGGCATATGAAGAGGCCACGGGAAGAACGATCAAAGTCACATTTTTTTATTTAGCTAGTGCTTGAGCTAGTGCTGACACCTATATGTTTGTTGTACAAACTTTCATTTCTGATATTTCTAAAATTTACAAAATGATCAATGATACTATAATATATAACTTTCGTATCGTGAGTCAATTAGTCACCATATGGTCTAACAGCTTTATTTTTGTTTTCCTCAAAACTAATTGTGGCTTTGATTGTTATTACCGTGGGCTCTTCATTTGTGTGTAAACATCGAGTATTGACTTTGCAGGTGTTTTTCATAATTTGACTTCGATGTCCCGTCAGAGGCATTTGCGGGTTGGCAACGAGGACCTGCACCGTACCGATCCATTTCTTCGCTTCCGCCTTGATGGGTGACAACGTGGACTCGATGGGTTTCCAGCAGGGACTGCAGCAGGGAAGAAAATTAACGTATTGGGTTGAGTCGAGAGGAATGATCCGTGCGTTCGAGCATTGTCCATCATGAAACTGAACTTGCGGTTCTGAAAAATGTCTCATAAAAATGTATGTCTCAGTGGAGCGTATCCCATATGCATGATTTTTCCTGATGTCTGTATCTCAGCAGGTCTTTTATGTACGTTTCAGCTTTCTGCGTCTCTCCGTTCCCATGGAATAAAAATATTTCTAGAAGTATTTGTCTCTCGAAAAAATGTTTGCCTTGGGGAAACCGGGAAAAAATTATCCTGAAATTAGTGCCACAAGAACCACAGGATCACCTAATAGTATATTGCCAGTTTCATTGAATTGAAAATGTGTTTGGAAAACTTGTCCCGCAGAAAAACTGTCCCCTGGGAGGATGTAACTCCAAAGCAAGCTTTTTCCCGAACTCAGCAACCCAGTGGCATCTTATGGCTCAGGTTTCAAGCTCCTACTTTATCTGGTTAAAATAAGCGTCAGCCACTCGGTCCCGATTGTTTATATAAGATGCAGTGGTGAAAAGTAAGACGAATTTTTTATTTTTGTAATTGGTGCTCAGAGCGATGAGAGATTTCATCGAAAAAGCATAGTGATGGGCGGATCTTCGGAAGTGCCGTTTCCCAAAATCAGTCTCGATGAATCGGGATTTCCGAATGTGATGGGAATGCGGAAAGGGGATTTGAATTCCGGAATGCAATCCTCAATTTTAAATTTCCGAATATCTGGATTTCCTTGCCTCTTCTCAAGCGAATTCTCAACAGAAGCAGGAGGATTAAGAAAAGTGGGACATTAGTAATATTGGAAGATCAATAATAGTGGCCGTAATCCGCTTAAATATGAGAATATTTTGTGGGTTTCTCCCACTTTTAAAAGAAATCCGTTAATTGTGATTTATGGATTTCACCATGAATCATATCCGATCGCTTTAATTTAAGCAATATCGTTGTCATGGAACATAAAAGATGCGTCCCTGCATTTTTTCAGTGATCATGTAAATCCGAAAAAAAATATTTTGGTGGATTTCGTCTTCCATACTTGAAAGCAGAGGGACGACTCGGACCGATCGGAAAGACGATCGGATTCCTATCGCTCAAATCGAAAACAACTGAGTGATACGTCATCGAACATGCCATTTTCCGCTTCCGCAGTGGCCAACCCCATCGCGAGCGTCGCGAACGGCTGCCTTCGCAACGGAAACCAGTCCATTCGGAGTCTCCGTGTCAAGTCTTTCGACTTGCACCTGACTCATCTGTGTAGCAAATTCGGAAGCGACATCGAGGCATGCAAAACAGTCGGCATTAGACGGTGGGTCGATCGCTTCGGAGATTCTTTGGTCAGGAATCGGTCGTCTCCGAGGAAACCCACCGAGGAAAGCCATTCGCGTCGGTTGCGTTCCGCTGCTTTCATGGAAGACGAGAACGATCGAAAACATTTCATGCAATTCAAGCGGATGGACGAACGTAATTGACGCTAATTTGAAACCACTTCATCAGGAACCACTCTCTTCAGCGGAACCATTCACTCTTTACATTTTATTTTTCTAATTTTACTTTTATAGTGGTATCGCACTTAGAGAAGAAATGCAGCGCTTTGAGTCAGGCTCCACCTCCGATTCCAACGAAATTCCAAAGGTTCATACCTCTAGACTGAATTTACTTGCTTCTTTTCAAAGCCACTTAAAGTATTTCATCAGCTTCCAATTCTTTTTCTCTCTCAGTAACAGTTTTTCTTTTCAAAATTGTTTTTACGTAACCTTAGTTTGCAATTAAACTCCACGAAACATATATCACATCCATTTGGTCATTGAAAGAGCTTTGTGATGACACTAATTAATCGTTAATTAGTCTTTATTTTAATTAGCACCAAAATTAGAGGTATTTGTACGACCAGTGGACTGGAAATAGATCAGTATTCTTTAAATACACTATTTGAATATCTACCACTCGACCTATAGAGCTGAAATTCGATGTGGTCGAGTTCATCGATAGACCTTGCAAGCAAACGAAGTTTCATCTGAATCAGAGGAAGCCAGGTCACCTTTTTTCGCGTCGCTTCGATTTGGAGGGGGGTAGCTTTTCCTGCTGCCATGAATCTCTGGAAGGGAGAAAAGAAAGAAACGAGCTGCTTTCGGAGGGACGTTTATTGAGGGCTCAGAAGAGACGAAACGGCCGAGAGGAAAAAGAGGACGATCGCAGTGCCGCAACCTGCAGCCGCATTGCACAGGTTAGTGCCGCAGAAGCAGATGTCGTCATCGGCTTCGACGATGAGCTCAGGGACCTCGCCCGGGCCGACGCACCCTTCCCGGTAGAAGTGGTGGCAACCTGCCTTCCGGAGGTTATCTGTCGGGGAAGAAACGTGAGTTTCCATCAGATGCACCTCAGTCACCCATATCTCTGTGCAGAATTCCAGGAATATTAAAATATCTCCCAACCCGACTCATGGACTGCTCATTGCATTAACGACGGTAACGATATCGTTAAGTCCTGCCTCGGCACAAAAGACGGCAAGAGATCGTCTCATCTCATCTCGTCATCTCGTCGCCACATCATTCTGATGAGCGGCAAATTTGAAATGCGAACTGAAACGTCCCTTCCCATCGTCTTCGATCGAACGGATTGGAAAAGAAAACGATTGGAAATGTGGGACCGGATAAATATTTCCAAGACTCGATCACGAGTTATCCGGCCCCATTGGCCCCGTCGGACCCAGAGTGCTCAAAATGTATGCCGAATGTAAACCAAATGCAAACCGCGGGCCCAGGACCGACCCGAGTTGGACTCCGCTCGCGACTCCCACGAAAGCCGACGTTTCCCCAATCGACAATTACTCTTGGTTTTAACCTGTTGCTCACTTCGTTACTGTTACCCTGTTACTCACCCTCTTGCTCATCTTGTTGCTAACCCTGTTGCTCACCCTGTTGCTTACCATATTACTCACCCGACCTCGAATCCCGTGGGCTTCCAACTCGGTCTGCAACTTCTTGTGAGGGACGGTATCGAAAGCTTTCGCGAATTCGAAATGAACGAACTATTATTTTTGTCCGTGTCGTTTGTCACCCAATCGTGAATTCGAGCAGATCGGTAAGGCGATTTTGCTGTCGTCTAAATGAAAGAACGAGTTTTCCCTGGGATCCGTGATCTTACCGGGGATACTCGTGAGATTCCTGTAACCTCTGCGATTCATTCTTGAAGAACGCTCACGACGTTGCTAATTTCTCCGAAATCTTTCCCGGGGACGGTCCTCGAGCGCGCGGAATTCGCGACGAAAGAAGAGAGACTTCGGGGAGCAGCACTCACTTTCCTCGCGCCAGACGGCATAGCAGAGAGCCGTCCGGTTCGCCTGCGGACTCTCGTCGCAGATTTTGTACCTCCACTCGTTCTCATCATTTTCGCATTCGACCTTGTCTTTGCATTCGTAGCAGGTTATGGCGGTGCAGCACCCTGCGCGGAAGGGAAACGTCAGCGACGATTTCGGCATCCCTCGATATCGACGGCATCCCTCGATATCGACGGCATCGCCGCGGACTCACCTGCCAGCGCGAGCAGACCGAGAAGAACGGGAACGTTCATCGTGGGAGAACTGCAAGAAGAACTTCAGAGGACCAAACGATCGAATTCAGCCTGGAAAAAGTTTCGATTCGAGTCACGAGCTTCAAAACCTCTCACCAGATAACCGCGAGGACAACGGACTCATTCGACCCAGCTGCCTCCCGGCCGAGTGGATGCCACCGGCTCGACCCCTCGCGTTTTAAACTTCCGCTGGCTCCTCTTATCTCGAGTGGACCACTGTCTGAGGCGCCAGCTAGTTACCGATCCCAGGAACGACCCTCGAAGAAAACCTCGTCCGACCTGAAAGGTAACGAGGTGCAAGAGCATCGAGGGGCCGAATTATATTCAGTTGAAAAAGTGATTCTCTTAATCTTAATCTAAAACTTAAGCTTTTTAAGCCTTGGCTTGAATCTGAGCAAAAATTCTGGGATGGTAAGAAAAGGTAAGTCGGCTGTCAGTAACGAATGCCGAGACTGAGGGAGTGAAAATCCGCGAAGGTCCGCGAAAGTCCGCAAAAATTACCGAAAATGTGAGTCAGAGCTGAATCGTCTGGACGTCGCTGTGGGTGTTTTCCCTCACGATTTTGTCCCCTTAGGTGGAATTTTTCTTGCGGACCCGGTGGAACGGCCGCGAGGGTTCCTCTTCTTCCCTCCTGCAGTTCGGGTTGAAAAAAAAAAGAGAAACAAATTGCAACAAATTTAGAAAATGCACGTCGACTAGCAAATTCACGCCTAGTACCATGCAGCTTTTTGCGCACGATGTCGAAGATTCAATTTTAGCGCCATGGAGGGTTCCCGAAAAGAAAAAAATCAATTAAATTACAAAACCCAATTGAATTCTCTTTCTTTTGGCACAAAAAAGCCATGTTCTGGTCCTAAAAAAATGCAGAAGTTATTGCTATTTTTAAATAGGGAGTGACTTTCCAAACACCCTGTGCAAATTGCGTTCCTGAAATACTTCACGATATTTACATCCTTAGTAGATACATCGTATGTAAAATATTATAAAAAGTATCCTGTGTGTAATAATGCCAGTCAAAAATTGACACATCATGCCAACTTTGCTACAAGCACATTTCAAGAGAGTTTTTCTATCTTCGAGACGCTCTATCTCGAGATAAATATTGTTTTGCATAACTTTAAGCGACTTTCTTGTATGTTTTTATTTTAATTTTAAATCTGACTTGGTTACGGTCCGATAAAATATCAAAAGCGAACGCAATACCGACATTTCAAAACATTTCAAATTCCTCATCGTTGAAGCAAGTTTGAAGTTCATCAGATTTGAAGAAAGCGGGAGACCACAGGACCTGTTCGGTTTTCTCTCGTTAGCTTCCAGAATCGAATGGGATTATGACTGGATTATGACCGGATTATGACCGGATGATCAACCGATCAACGTCTGGCTCATCTGGGGAATTTTCTAAGACGAATCTCCAAGGTTCAAGGTCGTTATTAGGTCACATTTCTGGAACACCTGCTCAGCAACCGAGTCCAACGATAAAGCGGTGAAATCAGAATTGCACTTGAGTCGCGATTCTTGAATTCCACTGGGAGAAGTTGGAGTGTTTTTACCTTGAAAAAAAAAAAACTGTCAAAACCTATCAATCCTTACCGGAGACGACTTTTTTATCATTGTTATCTGTTAGTATTTGTGCTAGAAAAATATCTCTTAAACTAGGGGAGATATTCTAGGAACTAATACGTCTCCCCCCTGCCAAAATGATAAGAAATCAGAAAATCCTCGACATTTTTTACCAGGAAACCCGATGGACGAGGCAGAGGGCGACAAGGGTTCCGCTGCCCTTCCTCCTGCTGCTCGAGTCTCTGAATTACTCATGGAGCGATTATAATTATTCCAGTCTCTTCTCATGCCTCATTCCTTCGTTACGGCATGGCACCGTTGGACACTTTTTATTCCAGTCGAAAAGACAAAAAAACCGAGTCATAGTAATCACCTCATTAAGCTCCATGAAATTTAGAGACCTTTCGCCAGGATTTTGTCGAAGGAGGGGGGAGGGACCGCTGAAAAGATAATCTGCATTTCTTGAGATGTCTAAGAAAATGTTTTATTACCACATTTCTTGTTTAGATATACCTTTTTTTTCAGCCCAAGTCACGAAAGCCTAATTTTATGACGGATATTCTTGTCCACCTTCTTGAATCACTTGCTGAAAGCGATACGTTTGCAAAAGCTTCTTTTCTACCAGTCTCTTCCTATTATTTTTTTCCAACATTCCTTGTCAGTTTTATTTTTAACTAGCGAAACAAACTCGCTATGGTCGCCCTTTCGGCGCTCTATCTGATTGGAAAGAAAGTTCTCGGAATTTCATGAACAATTATTANGCAAAACCTTCCTGGGGTGAAGACCTCTTCTTGATTGTGGTACAGCAGGTTCCCCAGCAGTAGCCCACTGTCGACGATGCTTAACATTGTGATAAAGCACCCATTTTTCATCCCTAGTAATGAGACGATTCAAAAACGACGCTTGAAGTGCACGAGAGTGTAGGGAAGAGCAAATATTTACTCGATCCCTAATTGTCTGGTGAACATATATGTGGAACCCACTTTCCAAGTTTTGACACTTTTCCTTGCCGTCGCAAGTGGCGGTGAACGGTGGAACGGGTGGAATTGAGCTTCTGAGCAAGTACTTCAACAGTTACAGCAGGATCTTCATCAAGTGTAGCCACCAGCAGTTCATCATCAAACTCAATAGGTCGGCCTGAACGTGCTTCATTAGTTAAGCTGTAGTCACCAGACCTGAATATCTGGAACCACCTCTGGCATTTCCTCGTATTCAGAATTCCTCACCATAAACATCTCGAATGTTTTTCGTGGCTGCAGTCGCGTTATTCCCTTTCTTAAATTCATAAAGCATTATATGCCTAATGTGTTCTTCTGACACCTCCATCTTGTCTTTAGTATCCAAGAAAAACGGAGCACTGTTCCCTCGTGAAAACCTGCACGTATATCGACGAATAACCCCTGCACAAGTTAACATAGAAATATTCTATGGGATGTTCGCAGATACATGTATAAAGAAGACACAAGTAAGGCTATGCCAGAAAAACGACATTACTTATGGGATGTCCTGATACATGCCCACAACGTTTCAATATTATACGTTTGCCCTTTTCGCTGGTGAAAAAAACATGTTTAGAATAGCCGACCCACCCAAAGGCTATGAACCAGAGGTGATGCATCATGAAAGCTGAATACTACCTCAGCTCAGTAATATCATGTCACTTCAACGTGTGCCAAGTTTCACCTTTCTATTCAATTCGCCACAATTTTTTTTTTCAAAACATCGCACCTCGAAAAAATTCCCCCAGGGGATGTATCGAGACTTAATTTATTTCTTCAACTCCTTGTCTCAATAGTCACATTCATGCCAAGTTTCAGCTTTCCATGTCTCTCCGTTTTACTCACCATTTCTATGCGTTTTGACCCCCTGTCGAGGAGAAATTGTATTTTTCACACCTTCTAAAGCAGGGCTTCCCAACCCAGGGATCGCGACCCCGTTTGGGGTCGCCAAGGTCATGTTTGGGGTCGTGAATGAAAAAGGTTGGGAAGCCCTGTTCTAAAGCAAGTTAGCTCCCTTGCTCTAAAAAAATCTTTCAGTTATGAACTTTTGGTTCCACATTCCTTTAAATTCGAAATTTAAATATAGGAGGAGTTTTCCAGCTCATTCATAATTTAGCTGAATTCTACTTGTGACACATCACCATCAGAGAATGCTTTGGAAATTTTAAAACATAAATTAAAATACAAATTTCGTCATTCTTTTTCACCTTCTTCAGCGAAATTTTCGTAGCATTTCCGATTTCTTGGAATGTCTTAAT